AACTTTGCTCCCTATAAAGTTATTGTGACTTCTCTACATTCAGGTAGTTTGTTTCTCATGCTTGAAAATAAGCGTATATCCTGTATTCTGGGAACTACGCCAGCATTCCTAACCCTCTGGCACAGAGCTGACACTTAAGCAAAGTGACTTTTTTTCTTCCTACTGGTTTCATATACAAGATACTGAACAAGCAGCAACTCAGAGAGAAGTCATCTCAGAGAGGCCTAGGCCTAATGGAAAGATGTGAACAGATTGATTGCAGGACAATTATTTCCTTCAAAACCACATCATTAGTCAAGATAAGAAAACATGATGTAAATAGTAACATCCAGGTTCTTGCTTGTCAAGAATTCCCAATACTCTCTCTTTGTCTGCTGGGACACCCTGGCATCAGTCAGAATAACCCAGCTCTGGCCATTACCTGGCTGTTTCTCAAGTCTAGTTTAAGGTTCCTTTTGAAACACTGATCCCATCATTTTAGGAGACATTGCTAATAATGGAGGCTCACAGTACTACATCTTGGGATGAAGTTTGAGACTTTTTCAGATTCCATATTTTAGTTCCAACTCCAACATGCAGATGAATTACTACCTACAGAGAGAAGCAAAATCAGGGTGGCCTTCTTGAACCAGCCTCTATAGCTGCAAGAGGCCACCACACAAACTGGGAATGGAGTTGGATAATGAGGAGGACCTAGCTTCGTGGGTTGAATAATGGTCTTCTTATAAACAGATCTAGAGGAAACATCAGAATGTGACCTTGCTTGGAATAAGGTTCTTTGCAGATGTAAGAAGTTCAGGATCTTGAGACAGGAATATCCTGGATTTGGAGTGGGCCCTAAATCCAATGACTGCTAATCTTATGAGAGAAAGGAGAGGGAGATTTGTTTTTTAATTTTAATTTTATCTTTTTCTTTTTCAACTTTGTTTTTAGATTCAGGGGGTACATGTGCAGGTTGGTTACCTGGGTACATTGCACGATGCTGTAGTTTAGGTATGAGACCTAATGATACCATCAGCAGGTATTGAGCATAATACCCAGTAGTCAGTTTTTCAACCCTTGCCCCTCTCCCCACTCCCCCCTCTAAAAGTCCCCAGTGTCAATTGTTGCCATTTTTCTGTCCACAAGTACCCAATGTTTAGCTCCCATTTATAAGTGAGAACATATGGTATTTAGTTTTCTGTTCTTGTGTTAATTTGCTTAGGATAATTTTAGACTTCTGACCTCCTGCAAGAGAATAAATTTCTGTTATTTTAAGCCAATTGAATTTGTGATAATTTGTTACGGCAGCTCTAGGAAGTGAATACAACCTCACAAAGCTATTTAAACCTGTTCCGGGCAGGGCTCAATGGCTCATGCCTGTAATCCTAGCACTTTGGGAGGTGAAGGCAGGCTGATGGCTTGAGCTCAGGAGTGCAAGATCAGCCTGGGCAATATGGCAGAACTCCTTCTCTACCAAAAATACAAACAAATTAGGCAGGCTTCGTGGCATGCATTTGTAGTCCCAGCTACTTGAGAGGCTGAAGTGGGTGGATCACTTGAGCCTGGGAGGCCAAGGTTGTAGTGAGCAAAGATTGTGCCAATGAACTTCGACTTGGATGACAGAGTGAGGCCCCATCTCAATTTAAAAAAAAAAATAGAATAATAAAAGTAAACCTGTTCTGAATAGAGAGGAGGTAGAAGCTTCTCAGGTAGTGTCTGCTTTGCAAATTTCATGATACAAACAAGAGATAACACCTTGAAGGCCCTATATGTACAATAGAAAAGTGATTACTTTTCAACTTCAAAGTATGTCACACGAAACTCATTAATCTTCACAGCACACCTGTGTCAAATAGCTAAGTACCACAAGCCTCAACTCAGAGAGTATAGCAAATAAGTCCTTGCCCGATGTCATCAAAGGAACTCTTTTTTTTTTTTTTTTTTTTTTTTTGAGACAGTCTCACACTGTTGCCAGGCTGGAATGCAGTGGTGCTATCTCAGCTCATTGCAAACTCTGCCTCCTGGGTTCAAGTGATTCTTCTGCCTCAGCCTCCAGAGTAGCTGGGGCTATAGGTGCCCGCCACCACCACATCCAGCTAAGTTTTGTATTTTTAGTAGAAACGGGGTTTCACCATGTTGACCAGGATGGTCTCGATCTCTTGACCTCGTGACCAACCCACCTCTGCCTACCAAGTTGGGGGATTACAGGCATGAGCCACTACGCCCAGCCAGGAATTCTTTATAGATGGCTTCGAAATAGACTCTTCTTAAAAGAAACACAGCAGGAAGATGAATTGCTGGTGGTCTGAAGTAGAGCAAAAGGAATTGCAAAGCAGAAAATTTACTACACATATATTTTGTAAGGCCTTATTTCCAAAAATAATATAAAATATAAAAGCTATAATGAAATTCATGTTGCGACTTTCCTTGAAGTCTTGAAATTTTATAACCCCACTCTTGCTACCATCAGCCAATTTCTTGTTATCGTCCTGTGGAACAAAAGTTTCCCTGAGAAATTGTATTGACCTATTAGACTTGCCGACGTAATGTCCCACACAGTCTTAGAATAGGCAGGTCTCGGCCATGACTTTCATGAAAGACGTAGGACGTTTAAGTGTATAGTGGCACCAAAACAGTGCACAAAACTAGAATATTTAAAATAAGGGAATTGATAGCTCCACTCTGCTCTGCCATAGTCAGACCACATTCAGAAAGACTACAATGTTTATGGCATAAAAATTTAAGACATCGTTACGTTTAAAAGGGCCTGGCAAGGTGTACAGGGTTCAAGGTTTTCAAAAGCAGCAACTTTGGACTACTGGGGGGTTTTAATCTGGAAAAGACACAGAGCCACAATATCTAAAAGGATATCATGTGAAAGATGATTAGACTTACCTAACAGATAGAAATTACATTGCAGCTTCATATTATTAGGAAAAGCTTTTGGAAAACAAAGCTGTCCAAAGACAGGACCAGCATCTTTAGCAAGTAGTGATTCCCCCATCCCTGGCAGTATACAAACATAGATGAGCGAGTTACTTTGTGGGGCTGCTGTAAACATTTAAGATTTCTTCTCAATCTAATGTCAGTCAAATCGTTGGTTCTTCTCACTTGTAATTTGAATATCTTCCAGGTCTCCAGAATCTGAAGCTCTGATCCTGAATTTATAAAATGTGGATGATGTCTATGAAACTAAGCTCAGGAAGTATTTTGTCGCATACTGTGTTGAAAGCTTATAGGAAGAGGAAAGTTGGGCAGTTGTCTAAGTGTAGTGGAGGTTTATGTGAAGGGAATGTTGAACCATGAGGCCCACATAAGGCAACTGTCTTAGGAATAAATAAGTAGTATGCTATAAATAGATATCTACCATGCTAACTTAAATATGTTATTGGCTTCTCCAAAGAAACAGACCCATGGATGTGTATATGGAGAAAGAGCGAGAGGTAGAGAGAGAGAGAGAGAGAGAGAGAGAGAGAGAGAGAGAGAGAATTTATTTTTAAGGAATTGGCTTGGCTCACGGAATCATGCAGGCTGGAGGCTGGCAAGTCCAAAATCTGTAGTGTGGCCTGGTGGCCTGACAGGCTAGAGACCCATGGAAGAGCTGATGTCGCAATTCTAGTCCGAAGGCCATCTGCTGACAGAATTCCCCCTTGGGGAAGTCAGTCTTTGTTCTATCAAGGACTTCAACTTATTGGACGAGGTCCACTCACAATAGGAAGGGCATTGTGCTTCCCTCAGAATCCAACTATTTAAATGTTAATCTTATCCAAAAAACACCCTTGCAGAAACATCCAGAATAATGTGTGATCAAATGTCCGGGCCCCATGATCCAGCCAAGTTGACACATAAAACTAACCATCACACCAGGGGATAGTTCCTCAAACTTGACAAGTCCTTCGACATCTGTGGATGCCACCTCTGAGGGATAAAGGGAGGCCGGGAATAAAGCTGGCTAACAAAGGTCACTGGACATCTTCCCACATTCCCACTTTCTGAAGACAACTCTAAACCAGATCTTTTAAAATTCTAAGCTATGTGGATGAATTTTTTAAACTGAATGATGCTGGATGAGTGTGACTCCTGGGATGCTATCCACTTAGCCATCTATTACACACACTTTATATACAACTACATCATTCCCAGTAGGTCACACTTATTAATAAATCAAATGAAGACACAGTAATGCTGTTCTTCTAAGACATGTCAACATTTTTCTTAAAGGCACTCAAAGTAAATTAACCTAAAGATTCATGCTTCTTGTTTTATTGAGACAGAGTCTCACTCTGTCACCCAGGCTGAAGTGCAGTGGCACGATCTCTGCTCACTGCAACCTCTGCCTCCTGAGTTCAAGTGATTCTCCTGCCTCAGCCTTCCGAGTAGCTGTGATTACAGGTGCACACCACCACACCCAGCTAATTTTATATTTTTGGTAGACACGGGTTTTCACCATGTTGGCCAGGCTGGCCTTGAACTCCTAACCTCAAGTAATCCGCCTGCCTCAGCCTCCTAAAGTGCTGGGATTACAGATGTGAGCTGCCACGCCCAGCCCCATGCTTCTAAAATAGTTATTAGCTTGAAAAAAAAAAAACTGGGTCCAGGCACAGCGGCTCACGCCTGTAATCCCAACACTTTGGGCGGTCAAGGCAGGCAAATCACGAGTTCAGGAGTTTGAGACCAGCCTGGCCAATATGGTGAAACTCAGTCTCTACCAAAAATACAAAAAAATAGCTGAGTATAGTGGCAGGCGCCTATAACCCCAGCTACTCAGGAGGCTGAGGCAGGAGAATCCCTTGAACCCAGGAGGTGGAGGTTGCAGTGAGCCGAGATCACGCCACTGCACTCCAGCCCAGGCAACAGAGTGAGGCTCCATCTCGATGAGAAAAAAAAAAAAGTGCTGCATTCTAGAAGGGAAAAGCCAACTGGAAAAATAGAATTATTCTTTTCATCTTCAAATCAGCATCTTCCCTGGCCCCGCCCACCTCAAAAAAAAAGGACTCAGGAAAGATGAAGATAAGGAATGCTTTTAAAATTTTTAGTCATTCACTTTTATTATAGGATTCCCACAAATTCAGTAGAAAAGGGGTGGGATACAGAAAAAAGAGTTAGAGAATGGGAGATGTATAATCACTCTATCAAGCTATGCAAACCAGGACTTAAGTTTTTTACCACACAAAGCAGAGCTTTAGTTATGCATAACAATTTCTTAGTGACTTTGAAGCCAGGTACTGTCTTGGGTACTTTTGTATACAATACTTATTTCATTTGAGAAAAAAAAATAGTTACCATAGGAATTTCACCATGAATGTTCTATCACGTGTTTAACCTTGATTTGGAATCTGATATATGTTTTTTAGAAGGCTATTTTTTAACAGTTTGCACTTCTGACATCTGTTCCTCAGACGTATCAGGGAGGCAAATATTAAATAGTAATTGTAAATAGCAAGTCATCTTCTCAAACCAAGCCAATCTTATTTTAAAATGCATTAAAGGTATGTAAAATAGTAATCCGCTGAGAACTAACAGAAGCACGTAGACATAATGCACATTTGGAGACTTTACCAATGGTATCACAACCAAGCCCACGTCGATGACTATTGTGGTTAATGGAAATGGCAGAAACACCTGAAAAGAGCAAAGTTTGAAAAAATATTAGATATGAACATCCATGAATGATACCTGCATCTTTATATAAATAAAAATGCAGAGATACAAGCTAATTAAACAGGCTAAATTAGCTGTAAAGTTGAATAAACCTGGCTTAGAAGTCAGATAAATGCCTGAGTGAAAGGAGACGTTGAAGACTCATTGTCAGGTTGGAGGGAATGGGCATCTAGCATTTGACTGTCCATGAATGGAAATAACTAGAACCATTTGCTGATAAGATCACAATCTACTGCTCTGAGTACCATGAATCTGTTAAGAGGGAATTTCTAAGGCCCAATGGAAGTAACAAAAATATTCTTTGGAAAATATCTCAAGGCAGTAAGAAATTCATGACAAAACAGAAGAACCATCCTCAGACCCTCTGTTACACAGGTAAATACTGACAGGTAAATGTTATAACTTTATAGGCTCAACATATTAAAAAAAAAATCAAGACAAAAATTTTAGCTAAAACAATTTTCCCTGTTTTATATTTTGTTTTTGTTTTGCCAAAAGCCTTAAAGACCAGTCCTTGGTACCTGCTTTGTGTTAGAATTGTAAGAGTTCTCTACAACATTACCCAACCTAGGGAGAAAATTGATATAAGATATAACTAATATGAATCTACATTCCCCAAAGATATATATAACACAGCTAGTCATAATTTATGAAACAAAACCCTTTCATTAGAGGATCATTTGTTGGGATTTAATCATTAAGAATCTCTTCTTGGCCGGGCACAGTGGCTCACGCCTGTAATCCCAGCACTTTGTGAGGCCAAGGCTGGTGGATCATGAGGTCAGGAGATCGAGATCAGCTTGGGCAACATGGTGGAACTCCGTCTCTACTAAAAAAACAAAAATTAGCTGGGTGTGGTGGCGGGCACCTGTAATCCCAGCTACTTGGGAGGCTGAGGCAGGAGAATCACTTGAACTCAGGAGGTGGAGGTTGCAGTGAGCCAAGATCACGCCACTGCATTCCAGCCTCTCCAGCCTGGACGACAAGAGACTCTGTCTCAAAAAAAAAAAAAAAAAAAAAATCTCTTCTTAGTTTATAAAGCATCCTTGAAAAAGATACTTTAGGCCGGGTACGGTGGTTCACACCTGTAATCCCAGCCCTTTGGGAGGCTGAGACAGGCGGATCACGAGATCAGGAGATCGAGACCATCCTGGTTAACATGGTGAAACTCCGTCTCTACTAAAAATACAAAAGAATTAGCCAGGTGTGGTGGTGAGCTCCTGTAGTCCCAGCTACTCGGGAGGCTGAGGCAGAAGATTGGCGTGAACCCAGGAGGTGGAGTTTGCAGTGAGCTGAGATTGCGCCACTGCACTCCATCCTGGGCGACAGAGTGAGACTCCATTTCAAAAAACAAAATAAATAAATAAATAAATAAATAAATAAATAAATAATAAAGATACTTTATCATCTCATGGCTCAGTATCAGTTATCAAATAATTGAGAGAAAAGAAAAGAGCACTCCTGGGGGCATACAAGACAAATTTTAGCCACTTGTACTTAAGGCTGTTCTTGCCTTCCTTTCTGATGCAAATGTAAGTTGAATAATAATATAAGCAATAATAGCCATCAATGTCAGACCCTGGATTGTTTGCATGTCTTAGCTTACTTAATACATCCAATGTTAATAGGAGGTAGGTATTATTTTTTCCCATTTTACATCTGAAGAAACTGAGGTTCAGAGGTTCAATAACAAGACTAAACTCAGCTATTAGCCAAGCAACTGGACTTGAGCCCAAAGCTCTTAATGATTATCTTATGCTGTTATTTGTGTATAACTAATTTATCCCCCAGTTCATAACTTCTTTATAATTGTATCTATTAGGGTCAGTGATCTAACAAAAGTGTGGGTGAGAAAACAGCAAAAGACATTAAAAAGATGCAGCATGTGAAACTATACAGAGAGCAGACGTTAGGGAGGCACATCCAAGGGGGACTACGACCATCAACCCTGCTGTAGATTCGATCTCTCTCCGTATGTGTTCTCTGAGCTTCCTCTGCAGATCACTAGGTAGCAATCATCACACCATGATTTTTGGTTTACATGACTGTCCAGATAGATTATAACCTGACTAAAGGCAGGAGCCAAGTCTTAATTATTTTTCTACTCAGAGTACCTAGCAAGGTGCTTAAAATATAGTTGCTTCTTGACAACTAATACTCAGATACACAACAATTAAGAGATGACTGGATGGAAGAAGTTGAAAAGAAGGCTGGAAAGGAAAGAAGGACATAAATCAACCACAGCTGGTGATGGGAACATTGCTTTCGTTCTCTCAGCAGTTCTTTCGTATATTTTGTATTTAGCGAGAGTCAAACACTCCAAAGAGACTGCCTAGATTTAAATCTTGCTCTAATCCACGCTGTGTGAGCTTGGGCAAGTGACCTAACTTTTCTAAGTCTGTTTTCTTATCTGTAAAATGGGAATAACAATAGAATCCACCTTTCTATTACTGAGAGGATTAAAGGTGATCATCCAAGCCAAGCTTTGAACAACCTACCTAGGCAACCAAGATTATTTTATTATTCTGATCATCAGTGTCAGGGCCATCTCTCTCCAATAACATTCTTATGCTACCAAGTTTTGCTGCTTATTTGTTTTTCTACAATTAAATGGTTGTCTCCTCTCCTGTGAAAATTTTTTTCATCCAGACTGAAAGTCAGTTTAAAATAAGTAAAGTTGAAAGACTGGAATTTGCCAACAAAGTAAGTTGATGTTTCAGAACAGTGGATGTTATCACTTGTGACCTCACCTTGCCTCTTCTGTTTCTCATCTGCTAAATCTGACCCTGACTGTGGAAGACATTCATATGCATAACTAGTTACATAAGTAGACAAAATAATATCTGTTCAAAAGACTCATAATGATCTGTCTAACCATCCAGAGAACTGTTTTTCTCTCTAATAAACCATTAAATGGAATATAAGAGACTTTATATTGAGTAACCTAGCCAATAAAAATGAAAATTAAAACCAAGACCAGATTATTCTTATGTTTCACAATAACTGAGTATTCAGAAGATCTACTTATAGATGCCTTGATTATAATCTGAAATACAGTTATACTCAATATCTGTTCTTTCACACAGAAAAGAATTAGAAAATCAAATTTTACCTTATAAGGTATAGATAGATTGGGTTCCTGGTATCTCCGCCTTAATATTCCTATCATTAATAATATAGACCATAATGAATTCGTGAAAAAAATATAGTTTATCAAATCAATTAGACTTGTTAAGATAATTGCAAGGGATCCCAAAGTGACAAGTAGCAGCACAGCTGTAAATGGAGAGGAGTGACTATTAAGTGTATTAAATAGCAAAGGCAGCTGGCCCTCTTGGCTTGCAAGATATATTGGTCTCGATGATTTAAATATAGAAATCAGAAGGTTGCTAAATAATGAGGTAGAAATAGCAAAAGGCATAATCCATGCCAATGAGGGAAAAACTCGATTAGCCCATGTGATAGCTACAGCATCTGCAGGAAAACAAAAACACACAAAAGAAAACATGTTAAAAGAGAAATACTAATGATAAACCCTTTAATATTATTTCAACATAAAAACATAAACTTAAGGAATAACATTCAATTTGCTTAATTTTATTGTTTATTTCCTTAGTTACACTTACATAACACCTTTTAAAGGTGTCTATTTGAGCCCTATCACACTGTATTGTAAATGGTTATCATTTTATATGTCTTCCCCAATAGACCAAAAATGTTTTAGAGGACAAGGACAATCCATTTATTTTCTATAAAACTAGTGGCTCACTCTGTGACAGACATATAGTAGGCTTTCAATAAACACTTGTGAAATGAATTGATTTTGTTGAATGGACGATTGAATCCATGCTTATTTTCTAAAACTAGTTTATAGAGTCTTAATAGTTACATTCAGAGGCCAAAAAGCACAGTGCAACACTACTGACACCAGAATGAGACTTTCCCACAGCACAGTGCAATTTGAAATACTTCACAGAAAAAGGAACCATGTAGAAGAAGAAAATAAATTACACACCATTAAAAATATGTATGACATTTGGGACTTTTCTATAGACCGATAGCTCTCAATTGGAGCTGAATTTACTCCTCAGGGTCATTTGGGAATGTCTGGAGACTTTTTTGGCTGTCACAACTGGGGAGGTAGAAGGTTGCTGCTCGTATCTGGTGAGTAGAGGCCAAGGATGTTGCTAAACATCTTATAATGCACAGGACAGTTCACAACAACAAAAAATTATACAGTATAAAATGTTCATGGTACTGAGATTAAGAAACTAACCATTAGAGAATATTCTACTTTTTTTTTTTTTTTTTTTTTTTTTTTTGCTTAAAGATAAGAGACCTTACAGGTACTAATTTAATAAAAGTCCACAGGAAAAAAAAAGAACCTGTGAAGAAAAGCATCCACTGTTTGTGAGAATTCACTTGATTCAGTTCATATTATGTGAATATATGCTAGGACAGATCACTTGGTCAGAGAGAAACAAATTCTCAGTTTTTCAATGGAATGAGCACAATGGGGCCTGAGGTCCCTGGGGGTATGTGTCCTTGGAGCCTATGCTCTTGTACCAAGGTTGGTTTCTAGAGGGACTTTTGGGACATCAACATACTGGCTTGTAACACAAGGTAGGACTTCCCAAATGTGACAAAATTAAAATATCATTAATAGCCCTTGTTCTTAAAGATCTTTAATTTTTGTAACCCTTTTTAAATAGCCTCAAGTGCCATTTCACTTGTTTTCCTTAGTGCTATTCTACAACTTTGGATCTTCCTTAAAAATATCTCCTGTCTCATTTATTGTTCTTTTCAGGAAGATATTGTTAGTTGTTTTTCCCGGACACCCATACCTCCATAAATTTCACATTTTCAGTCACATTTCCAAAATATTTATTTCCAGTAATGCAAAGGAAATTCCCCTTCAATTTCCCAGTGTGCATTCTACAAACGTGGTTAGTTATAACTTGAGGAGGATCAGGTGCAGCTCTGTCAGTGCTGGCTGGCAAAAACGATACATCTTTCTACATCATCTTTAGCTCTATGCCATAAGGGATGTTTTTTCTTTGTTACACTTTCCACATGTTGTTTCTTCTCTTTTAAAAATGATTTCATATATGTTTTGGGTGAAAAGTAAAATAAATAGCACTGAAGCACATAAAGTGAAAAGTAAATGTCCCTCTCTTCACCAACCTCCCATTCATGCGCAGCAAATGTAACCACCATTAACAGCTGTTTGGATCCTCTTCCAGAAATTTGGTATGAATGTATAAGCACCGATTAGGGTTGTGTATGAGTATGCATGTTTGTGTACGCTCACTTAGGCTTGTTTTTGCAGGTGCATCTTGCGCTTATTGGTACATTTGCATGCATCTAATTATTCTAGCAAATTCTCAGCATTCCATTATATAACTGTCAATGACTTTATCTACCCATTTCATATTGTTTTATTTGTAGTTTATGTTCAATTTCTTGCTAATATAAAATGGGCTTTAATGAAAACACTCATGCCTTCCATTCTTGATAGTTGTTCAAGTCTCCTTAGAGTAAATTCTTAGAAGTGGGACTTGTGAGTCCAAAGGTATACACATTTTAAAATAAGGATGATGTTACAAAATTGACCTCAGAAAATAATTGCATTAATTTACCAATAAATGATTCTAAAATTCTCTTTCTCTTCAAAATTCTTTTATTATTATTATTTTTAATTTATTTATTTATTTATTGCCTATCATTGGCTATCTTTCCAAAATTCTTAACCATATCTGGGTACTTGGGACCAGCTACTTTTAGGCTGTATCTGGACAGGGAAACCTTCTCAGCTTCTGCTTCCATAAAATGTATTTACTGTTTTAGATTATCTTGTCCCATGCCAATTTTCTCTAGTTTTAAATATGGCATGGAACTCTCAAGAAAACCAAATGTGAGCACCCTGTCAGCAGTCTGTGGCAGGACTTTGGGAACAATGAAATCCTCAATTTTCAAAGCTGGGACAGGGCTCCTCACTAAGTCATTTCCATACCCCTTGTTCTAGAAGAACACCCTTCCCTTCTCAGTTGTGGTACTTATTCACAATAAAGGCTTTTTTTTTTTTCCCCCCCTAGGAGGAAAATATGTGAAGAAACAAGTCAGAGCTCTGACATGGACACAGACGAAAATGTTACATAATTAATACCATTGTTTCTTTTTCTATGTAAACCACAAATATTAGAATCTAATATGTATCACAGCCTGGTATAATTCTTTCAATGTTCCTTAAATAAAATGCAGCATACAATTCATGCCATATCATAGATGCTCTATATTCATCTGGGAACTTTTCACATTTTTTACATATACCTGTTTGAAAAAAATACATCTCTTAATCTTTAAAATTTCTTAATTTGAGAACCTAGGTTTGGGCCTGGTGGTTCACGCCTGTAATACCAGCCCTTTGAGAGGTCAAGAGGGAGAATCACTTGAAGTCGGAACAGCCTGGCCAACATGACAAAACCCTATCTCTACTAAATATACAAAAGTTAGCCAGGTGTGGTGGCCCATGCCTGTTATCCCAGCTACTCGAAAGGCTGAGGCACAAGAAGCGCTTGAACCCTGGAGGCGGAGGTTGTGGTGAGCAAGATTGTGCCACTCAACTCCAGCTTAGGCAACAGAGCAAGACTCTGTCTCACAAAAAAAAAAAAAAAAAACCTATTTCTTTTGCTTATAAGTTCCCCCTTATTATACAAATTTTGCACCTTAAAGAAAATGTGTAATATTCAGTGCAAACAATAAAGTAAAAATCATATACAATATCATTCCTGTTGATCACCATTACTAGCTACTTATTTACTGTTTTACATCATTATATTCATCCTGACTTTTTCCTCATTATTGAATTATAAACATTGTCCCTTTTCTTCAAGTGTCCATCAACAATATCATCTTTTACAAATCACAGAATATTCTGTTATATAGATTTCCCATAAATTTTTTATTTGTTTCAAGTTTATTGGATATTTTTATGATTTTTAATTTTTGCTATCATACATAAAGCTATGATTACTATACCTATACATGTATTTTTTCATGTATGACTCTGATTTTTTTCTTAATTTAAATTTCCTGTACAATAAACATGCAGATATTTGGACTCAGAAACATTAATTTAGAATTTAAACAAAAAGTCTAAAAATGATATGCCTAAAAAATAAGCATTGTAGCCAAATTACAAGTGATGATGGTCAAAATACTTCATGAGTTTTCCACACATGCCAAAACCATTGTGCCGCCTACAAAATTGCTGTAACCATTATGACACCAAAGGAGATATTCATGACTTTTTAACAACCCGTATGGATGGAGCACTGGTAGTCATAACAGACGCCAGCTTCAACGAACCATAACAACAGTGCTAGCTGACCAGCAGCCCCGACCACACCCACTATTAACTTTGTAAATTTATTCTTTACATAATCAAGGTAGTTAATAAATCACTGCTTGTTCTGATCTGACTTTGCATTTGGTTTGTTCTCACAGACACTCAGAAGCTTGATTACATTTAGTTTAGAAGTGCCTAAGATACCTAGACCATTATGAATCAGCACTGATACCATATGGCAGCACCCTGCAGGGCAGTAATATAAGAATTGAGGCAAAGTTTACCAGAATTTTTTATCAAAATCTCCCTTAGGTTTGCCTCCATGCCTCAAAGATTCACCAAAACAATAATAGCTGCTCAAAAGAGATTAGTCCTGAAGGTACTGGGTGATAGATTTATCTCATGAGGTGGTTTAATGCTGACTTGAGGAAATTGCTAGTCTTCCACTTCCCCTGTTTCTCATTTCTTTCCAAATTTCCTTTTATTCCTTGAATCTGTTACTCATTTTTAAATGTATATTTATTTAAGATTTTCTCATTCTTTTACTCTTTATTCTACAGTTTGGCCTCTAAGATAGCTATTTTTTGGTCAGATTTCCAATATGTTCAGGACCCTTTGCCACCATGAATTTCAGAGTTGTTCATGGTAAACCATATTGTTTTATACATCAATATTAATTATATGCATCAATTGAACATTAGCATCTACTCTTTTGACTGCCAATATTCTACATTTCAACTTGATCATTTTTTGTGACACCTGGAAAAACATTGAGACTCAAACATTTTGAAAGTTTTACAATAGATGTAAACACTGATTACATAGTGTCACTCTGGTGAGATGAGATCATGAAAGGAATACTAATATTTTGAATCTGATCTACAGCATACATCAACATTATATACATCTTTTCATACTATCAGAAAAGGCATAACCATGCTTAAACATGAATATCTTTTCTAAGACAAATCATTCCCTTTGGCCCTCTGTTATTTTAGAAAATTATAAGTTGATTATATACATAGAATAATGAACAGTAAACAGTGGTCCTGACTGGTGAAATGATAGTTAAGGTATGTTGAAAGGACGAGCACTTTATTTATTGTTTTAGCCATTTGCATACAAACCTGAAGAGAGAATTTCCCTGGGTGTAAGAACAGTCAGATAGGAAATGTTAACCAGTAAATAAACTACAGTCACCAGAGGTAACGCAGTAAATATGCATTTGGGAATTGTTGTTCTGGGTTTCTTCAGCTCCCCTATAACACAAAAGAGGACAAAATCATAATTGGTAAACATTATTTCTAAAATTCATTATTTTTAGATTAATATTTTTGTATTTGTATAAATTTATGGGGTGCAAGCATACCAAGGATGGTTATGCCTTTTCTATGATTTTATTACATGCATAGATTGTGTGCTGGTCAAGTCAGGGTTTCAGGGTATCCATAACCTGAATAACGTACATTGTACCCATTAAGTAATTTTTCGTCAGCCACCTGTCCACTCCCTCTCCCTTCCAAGTCTCTATGGGTCATCATTTTACCCTCTACATCCATAAGTACACATTTTGTAGTTAATTATGAGTGAGAAGGTAAAATATTTCTCTTTCTATTTTTGAGTTATTTCACTTAGGATGATGGTCTCCAGCTGCATTCATGTTGCTGAAAAAGACATGATTTCATTATTTTTTATGACTGTGTAGTATACTGTGGTGTGTATACATATGTATATACAAACACACAATAGTGTTGTGATAAACATGAGTGCAGGTATCCTATTGATTTGTTTTCTTTTGGATAGATACCCAGTAGTGGGATTGCTGGATCAAATTGTAGTTCTATTTTTAGTTCTTTGAGAAATCTCCATACTGTTTTCCATAGACATTATACTAACTTACATTCCTACCAGCATCGCTCCATGTGTCAAAAATTGGGCTAAGGTCTTCCTATTCATTCAGCCACCACCACTACACATACACTGAAATGCGCGCGCACACACACACACATACACACTAGCACACACTGGTGGGCTGCTACACACCCACCTGCCTAATATAGCTACATGAAGAAAAATATGAAATATGCTTCATTTTCTCCATAGATGGTGAAATTTCTGAAGAAAGACTGAAGAATAAAAAATGAAATCGGAGCCCATAAGTCCTGTACCATTTGAAGCCTACTTACGTGTTTAGCCTCATCTATTAATTCCAGGCACTGAGTTTGGATAGTGGTAATCCAGCAGTGAGCAGAAACTACATGAAGTTTGACCTCAAGAAGAAAAGCTACACATGAGTAAACAATTGCATAAATAAGAGGTTAAAATAATGAAACTATGGAAAGTGTCTGTATGAAAAGAAACTAAGTGCTATGGGGATATATTATGTGACAATGTGATAGTTTCTCTTGCTATGTGTGTTTCATATATAGACAGATACAGACAGACTGGCCTTTGCAGTTCCTCAACAATGTCTTCTCCCTTCTTGCCATAGGGTCTGTTTTCTTATGTGGAATGTTCTTTCCTAGTTGCCTAGTTGACCTCTACCCTTCCTTCAGATCTCAGGAAAATAATTACTTCTTGGAAAATGGGAAAGGAAACTCTCTCCCTGGCTAGCAAAATTTTCCTATTATACATTTCTCATATCGTATATTGAAAGGAGTTAAAGAGTCCGTCATAACTTCTCTCTCCCTGTATGCTCTTGACCATTCCTTTATGCCAATATTAAGTGCAAAGAAGGCCGAAACAGTTGTAATTTAGCATCATATAGAGTGGATTTTCTAGGACAGTTTTATGTTAAATATTGTTCCATTCATCACACCGTTTCCCCAAAGTTTGTCCTACCCGGAAAATTGCTCTGTGCCATGAAGAAATGATCATCTATAACCATAATATACAATGGCACCCTGTGCCCTGCCCAGTGGCAAGGAACAAAGAACAGACCTCAGATCCACCGGAAGCCAATCATTTTCAGTATACAAGAAAATTTATCTCAAGAATTTGAACCAAAGGTCAAGAGAAAAGCAACGTAATGGTTTTAAAAAAGAAAGGAAGATGAGAAAACATTTTTTTTTAATTTCTAGAACTTCCCTATTTTTTCATATTAATTATTTATTTTATAGAGACGGGGGTCTCGCTATGTTGCCTGGGCTGGTCTTGAACTCCTGGCCTCAAGCAATCCTCCAGTCTAGGCCTCCCAAAGTGCAGATTAAAAATGTGAGTCACCACATTCAGTCTGCTTCCCAATTTTTTTTGCTCCTGAAGATTGGTTGCCCAAATCTTCCTTAAAATATAGCACAATCCTTCCAGTAAGTTCCCCTTTTATTGCTTAAGCTAATGTGAGTGGGTTTCTGCTATTTAAAACCAAATCCCCTTTGCTAATAAATATCTATCATTTGACTATATCAAATTTCTTCTATCTGTGTCTGCCCAGGGGTTGGATCTAATGCCCATGGGGTAGACTAATCTGAGCTGATTAAGAACTTGAACAGTAAAAAATTTGAGAAGGTTTTAATTTTAACCCTGCCTGCACCACTTACTATTGTGGGACTTCTAGACAATGTATTGGCTGTCAAGGTTTCAATCTCCTTATAGTGAAAACTATAGGGACAACAAGATTCCAATCCTAGTGTTTAGCATATAGTAAGTGCTGAATATATGGTTGTTGTTAATTACTATAGTTATTAAAGCTTTGGGACAAAAGGGCAATTTTTTGGATTAATTGTACTTTCTTCTGAGCCTTTTACTTGTTCTCATCATGTACTTGATTTGTAAAAAGGAGATGGAGATTACAGTTTAATTTATAATAAAAAGTTATAATAGCCAGACAGGCGACAAATATCCTTGACTCTTGAACTTAGAAGATGGGTATTCCAGCCAGGTGTGGTGGCTCACATCTGTAAACCCAGCACTTTGGGAGGTATAGGCAGGTGGATCAATGGAGCCCAGAAGTTAAAGGCCATTCTGAGGAACATACCAAAACCTCGTCTCTACTAAAAATCCACACACACAAAAAAAATTAGCGGGGCATGATGGTGAGTGCCTGTAGTCGCAACTACTCAGGAGGCTGAGGTGAGAGTATCAATCGAGCCCAGAAGGTCAAGGCTGCAGTGAACTGTGATTGCACAGCAGCACTCCAGCCTGGGTGATAAAAAATAAAAATTTTTAAAAAAGATAGGTATTCCTACACCTTGCAAAGTCACCTGTCTACAAATCACAATTTTGCAGGTAAAAGTGTTACTTAAAACTTAGATGTACTTAAGACTTATTTTGTAAATTAACAACTCCAGCACACACTGAAATTCCTCCAACTTTTGTTCACCACTACAGGCTTGTGAGGAATTCCATACAGTTTATAGGTCAGCATGAATAAATTCTGTAAATATATTTTCAGCTGACAATAATTATCTAACAATGACACATCTCTGCAATGGGATACAATGAAACTGGCTCAAATAAAAATCCAGAAATATTGCTTCTAGCCTTGAAAGCAAGAAACAATGAGAAACTTTTGCTCGTTATGCCAGCTGCTGAAATTGGCCCATTTAATCACAAGCCACGTAAAACAGAAATATCCTCATAGCTTTCTTTTCTCAATACCTTATTTTTAACTCAATGCAAACTGATTTCCTCTCGTGTTCAAAATTCACCAATGACTTCTTACATTATCAGTGACAGTGCTCTAACCAGTCCTCATGCTCCTTGACTTCTGAAGCATTTAACCAGATAGATTATCCCCTGCTTTTTGAAACATATTCTGATTTTCCTCTATAACACTCTGAGCCTCCTCTGGCTTCTTCACTGAATCTTCTTTCTCTACCTCCTGCTTAAAAGTTGGCATTGTCCAGTCATCTGCCTCCCTCCGACCCTATGCCATTTTGTCCTTCGTCTCTCTATGTACTTGCCTTAGTAATCAACCCTATGTATTTTGTCCTTCATTTTTATATGTACTTGCCTTAGTAATCATATCTAATACCAAGACTCTCAGATGGAAACCATTTTGTAGTCACCTGAGGTTACATACCTTGTCTTCTATCTATGCTGCATGCTTCTATTCTCCACGGCTTCACTCATATTTTTCTGGAATTTTGTGGGTTCAATTCAAATTGCCACCTTTTCCACTCAGTGACAGCAAAAAGTGACCTTTCTGCTGATTTCCAAAGTAATTATATTGTTCCGTTATGGCTATCCATTAAATACTGTATCAAATTATTTGTTTATAAGGCAAGAATTATAGTGATTTTAAACCATGATATACATTTTGCAGATAAAAAAAAAAAGAGACTGGAAAGGAGAAAATACTTGCTATAGTTGGTAATGGCAGACCCAAATCTAGGTATTGCCTCTCCTACTAGACTGTAAGCCTCTTTGATAAAGACTGTATCTTACTCATCTTGAGGCACTAGTACAGGGTTTTAAAAACAGTCTTTGAAAAGATGGTGGCTACTCAAATGATTTCACGAATGATAGATAAATTAGTGGCAGGGGACTTGAGATTTTAAAAAGTTTTGTTCAGTAGTTAAGAGTCTGATACATATTTAAATAACAAGGAAAAGAACTGATTTTTTTTAAAAAAAATGAAGTTGAGAAAAAATGAAATAAAAGAATGTGAAAGAAAAGTCCTTAAGGTGATGGGAGGGAAAAGATAAAGAATTCAAGGGAAAAGACTGACTTTGAAAATGAAAAGATGAAAACTTCTGTTCTAACATTGAAGGGAAGGGTATATAGCCTCAGAGCAATCTACAATATCTATGCTTCTCTACTCTTTAAAGATACTTAAGAACCTACAAAGAGCAAAAAGCAGAACTACCATTTGACCCAGCAATTTCACTACTGCGTCTCTACCCACAGGAACAGAAATTGTTATATCAAAACGACCTCCGCACTTGCATGTTTATTGCAGCACTATTCACAATAGCAAAGTCATGGAATCAACCTAAGTGTCCATCAATGCATGACTGGATTTTTTTAAAATGTGGTATATATACGCCATGGAATATCATGCAGCCATAAAAAGAATGAGATCATGTCTTTTCCAGCAACATGGATGCAACTAGAGACCATCATCCTAAGAGAAATAATTCAAAAACAGAAAATCAAATACTGTATATTCTCACTGATATATGGGAGCTAAACAGTGAGTACACATGGATATACAGAGGAAACTGTGACACTGATGATTCCAAAAGTGGGGAGACTGGGTGGGGGCTAAGGGTTGAAAAATTACCTATTAGGTACATGTTCACTGTTAGGGTGATGGGTACACTAGAAACCCAGACCTCACTATTATACAAATAAATCCATGTAGTAAACCTGTACATGATCCCCGAATATATAAGAATAACGATGCTTAAGAGCATAGTAAAAGTGCAAGGCAAAAATCCAGCACTTGTTGCTCTTCTCTGATGTCCTGAGTGAATCAAGAAGATGCTGTTCCACTTTGGCACCCACTTCAGTCAGCTGCCCAGTGCTGTCATTGCGGTCAAGGGGTCTGAACTGCTGGAGAAGTTCCTGTTTTGGGTGTCCAGGGAGTACTCGTCTGGAGGCTAGTGGAAGGAAGGGAGCCTCTTTCGGGCTCCTATAATCCTGGTTATAGTATCTTTGCATTGTGGGCTAATTTATTACTTATTTATTTATTTATTTATTTATTTTTCTTTTTTTTGAGACAGGGTCTCACTCTGTAGCCCAAACTGGAGTGCAGTGGTGCAATCACAGCTTACTGCAGCCTCAAACTCCTGGGCTCAAGCGATCCTCCCACCTCAGCCTCTTAGTAGCTAGGATTAAAAGTGTGCACTTCTATGTTCAGATACTTTTTTCAGAAATCTGAGGAGGTGGCCATGTGTGGTGGCTCATGCCTGCAATCCCAGCACTTTGGGAAGCAGAGGCAGTTGGCTCACCTGAGGTCAAGTGTTCAAGACCAACCTGGCCAACATGGTGAAAACCTGTCTTTACTAAAAATACAAAAATAAGCCGGGCATAGTGGTGTACACCTGTAGTCCCAGCTACCCTGGAGTCTGAGGCAGGACAATTGCTTGAACCCGGGAGGTTGCAGAGAGCTGAAATCATACCACTGTACTCCAGCCTGGGCAACAAGAGGAAAACTCTGTCAAAAATGAAAGAAAGAAAGAAAGAAAGAAAGAAAGAAAGAAAGAAAGAAAGAAAGAAAGAAAGAAAGAAAGAAAGAAAGAAAGAAAGAAAGAAAGAAAGAAAGAAAGGGAAAGAAAGAGAGAGAGAAAGAGAGAGAAAGAGAGAGAAAGAAAAAGAAGGAAAGAAAGAAAGAAAAGAAAAGAAAAGAGAAAAGAAAAGAAGGAAAGAAAAAGAAATCTGAGGAGAGCAATCTCACTATTTTACACAGGTTGGTCTCAAACTCCTAGGCTCAAGCAATCTTCCCATTTCGGCCTCTCAAAGTATTGGGATTACAGGCATGAGCCATCACACCCAGCCCTAATTTAACTTTTAAATGCATCCAAGGTTGTTGTAGGGTGGCAGCTTTTATAATGCACACAAGAAAATTATAGCTTTATCATTAATTAGAATGCTTGATGTGAAAAAGGTCAATTGCATGTAAAATCAGTTTGTATTACTACATTCATCAATGAAAGGAAAAAGTTATAATAAAATATAAAACATAATTCCAAAAGTAAGTAAATAAAAATACTTAGAGCCTCAATGTGTCATACCTACCTACAACACAAACATAGTCCAGCATTGGATCATTCCTGGATTTACAGTTTCATGGGTGGGGAATATTTTCACAACCCCAGCTTTCATCCATTAAGAGAAATGAAACAGATTAACACAGAAGTCACATATCTGTGGTCCCAGAAAGGAAAGTTGAAAAAGAGAAGCTGTTCAATCAAATAAGTACCTTAGAATAAACAGGAAGATAATTAAGAGAGGGTAACAAGTGCAAGGCTGGCATGATCTGATTTAGAAAGTCACAAAGAAGAAAGAAACATTGAATCATTTAAGACTCAAAATACAACAAATGATAGGCATTTCACACTGTATGCAATAAGTCATGATTTTAGATTTTTTTTTCCTCAATGGATTGTTACCTGCTATAAGTGTAAAGCATCCCCCGCCTGAATATGCAAAATATCCTTGGAAGATGGCTTGTATAAGGTGAGAGATATCTGGAAATTCAGCATCAAAAGCATTCTGAAACCGTTCTACATTCTCCTTTTTCCCTCTTACCAGGAACACTACTCCAGTTAGGGAAATGAAGCTCAGTATGGACACTTTCAGCACCGAGCTAGCCATCTGAAGCCAAGTCACTTCTTTCACACCACGAGAAGTCAGAATTCCTACAATCCACAACATGGCCAATGCCAGACATTTCTTTGGCAGCTTTGGGACAGAGCAGCTGGGGAAAAAAGGCTGGATGCTGTACTCAGCAAGGAGCAGAGCTTGGCCAGCAACTACCCCTGACCCCAGAAACAAGGATGTCCAGAGATTCAAGAAAGCAACTGTGGAGCCAAAGTATCTCTTGAGAAAGTAGTATTGAGCTCCACTGCATGGGAAGCTTATACTTATCTCTGCAGAGCAAAGAGTTGATGTCATGGCCAGTACGGCACAGCCAGCCCAAACGCACAAGGAGACTCCCACGTTCATGCAAGAGTATGCCAACACACCTTTGGGGGACACAAAAATTCCTGCACCAATGATATTAATAAGTAAAAAACTTGTGCCCCAGCAATATCCAAACACTCTCTTGAGCTGTATTTTCTTCCCTCTATCCATTGTAATTGAAGACTTTTCAAATTCTATATAAATTACAATTTCTAGATTTTCCTGCCTATGTAGCTGCAAAGGATGTTGATGGATTCCTGAAATAAAATAATGCTGTCCTTTCTGTTCCCTTTTCATTAAGTATAGCTTGGTTTTAATAATTAACAAAATAGAGGTGGAAGATGGGGACAAAAAATAATAAGTAACAAAATATATGTGACACATTCAATAAAATAGACCAACATGTAGAAGGCTTTGGTCTGACTTGTCTTTCAATTATTATCAAAATAATGCACTCAGATTTTTTAAAAAAGGAATTTCCAAGAAGACATGGGTTACAGTACAAAGCTGGGGCTTCCTGCTCTGCTTCACTGCTTCCAAAATGCATTCCTAGTTCCCTCCTTTGGAAACAATCATTTTATTTTATTATTTTATTTTATTTTTTGAGACAGAGTCTCACTCTGTCACCTGGGCTGGAGTACAGCCTTGACCTCCTGGACTCAAGTAACTCTTCCACCTTAGCCTCCCAAGTAGCTGGGACCACGGGCGTGAGCCACCACACCTGGCTAAGGTTTTTGGTGGTTATTGTTTTGTTTTATTTTCAGTAGAGACGAGGATCTCACTTTGTTGGCCAGGCTGGTTTTGAACTCCTGTGCTCAAATGATCCTCCCGCCTTGTCTCCCAAATCTCTGGGATTAAAAGCCAACCATTTTAAAGTGTGTATGGTTTTAGATCTTTTTGGTGGTTGCCTTCATAACTCTAAATAATACAAAAAGACTTTTATTTCTAAATATCTCAACTTTAGAAAGCAAATACTGACCTCTTCCCATGAACATGGAGGAATTAGCTCACTATCCTTTTACTACCTTGCTTCCCTCTTCTTCACATTTTTTTAAAATCACTAAGCTTTCAGGAAACAATTTATCAGGCTTATATTCACAGAAGCTAATTAGCAAGGCAAGGGAGGGAAATGTCCTAAAACATAAGCCTGTCGTTTAACCAGTCACCTATCATTCTGGTAGCCTTAGTCACATACAGAAAATTGTGAACAGAAAGTACAGGAGAAGAACTGGCCCCAGGGACAGAGGGAAGGAGGGTCCTAACTGTCTTGTCCTAACCGACAAGTCTAGGAGTGGCTCCCACATTTGTTGACTTTATAATGAAAAGCCCTGTCCTGAGAATTTCCAAAGGCTCATAAGCCTGGAGCACATTTAAGCCTAGGAAATAAGAATTTCTCTCTCTCTCTCTCTCTTTTTTAAAAGCTGGGACTAGAGGCATGCACCACCACACCCAGCTAACTTTTGTGGGGATTTTTTTCGGTAGAGATAGGGTTTCCCCATGTTGGCCAGGCTGGTCTCAAACTCCTGACCTCGGATGATTCACCCACCTCTGCCTCCCAAAGTGCTGGGATTACAGGCATGAGCCACCACGCCCGGTCTAGTAAAGTATTTCTCAATTGTCCCCTAAGAGTAAGTGAAAGTGAAATTGCTTGGTTTTGCTTTGGTTTGGGAAAACTGGCTATTTTCTGGCAGATTGGATCCAAGAAAATTCACTGATAATACTACATAGTGATATAGGGCTGGGTGCAGTGGGTGGCTCATGCCTGTAATCCCAGCACTTTGGGAGGCCAAGGTCGGTGGATCACCTGAGATCAAGAGTTTAAAACCAGCCTGGCCAACATGGCGAAACCCCGTCTCTACTAAAAATACCAAAATTAGCTGGGCGTGGTGGTGCCCACGCTACTAGGGAGACTGAGGCAGGAGAACTGCTTGAACCTGGGAGGCGGAGGTTGCAGTGAGCTGAGAGTGGGCCACTGCACTCCAGCCTGGGAGATGGAACCAGACTCTGTTTCAAACAAACAAACAAACAAACAAAAAACTATATATATTTCAGTAAACATGACCAGGTCCATGTCCCAAATAAAACCGTGCCTTCTTTCTTGTCTCAAAAAGCAAGGACCTGGGAGTGTGAAAAGAATACCAGAAAGCTCTCCAAAAGATTGTGTTACTGAACCAGGCCTGTTTTGTTCACTGCACAGTATGCCAATGGCGAAGATGATGAGCTTTCCGAAAAAGAGAGGATTTATTCCTTTCTCTTTAAGCCAAGTGAAGAGATGGGAGAACAGGTCTCAGATCTGCCTCCTCAAAGATGGGGTTTAAGAATATTTATGGGATTGAGGAGTAGATGGTCTGAGGCATGGAGAAAGGTGACTGGGGAGAAGGACAAGTGAGATAATTGATGTTCTGTGCAAGCACATTCAAGCTTCATGGCTCCCCATAGGATGGATGTTCAGAAAATGATAATGTTATCATGATATGAGGGTGGAGCTTATAAATGACATCTTATAAATGGCACTCTGATGTCAAAAGATCCCACATCGGACATTCGTGGAGGCCCACCCAGGTGGAGGGGTGGTGGTCTCACCTGGTTTAAACTGGACAAGAGTTGACTCTAGGTTCCTGAAAAGCAATGTAGGCAACTGCTACTACTGTGACCCATACATGCATCAGAGATGGTATCTATAGGGAAGTTCAAGGGAGTCTTGTGATGTACTGCTTAGCTATGTGACATTCGTTTAGAGTTAGTAATCTTTTAAAACAGTGAAACTAGCTAAAAGCAAGCAAAGTGGGTTAAAGTTTCACGAGCCTAGTCAGATCTGCCCTTGGCTGCAATAGAGACAAAGTAGAAGCATGGGACAAAGGTGACCATTGTCCCACCAATAAATTCCCTACCTAACAATCTACTCTTAGGGAAGATGGTGAGGGAATCCACTATCCAAGCCTTGGATCTCACAACAGGAAAATATATAAGTCCAGAAGAACCAGGACCACCAAATGGGAGTGTGGTCGTTTTGTAGTTGTTACCTTGGCTAGACTGAACCACGTTTTCCTAAATTCTCAATTAGGAAGATTCTCATAAGGAAGGAATTCTCATAAGGAAGATGTCTGTGTGAGATGTGGAGTACAGAAGTGAAACAGCAATTGCATTGGTAGTTCACACTGATAAGAAATTTTCCCATGACCAAACTTCAGTCAGGCTCCTTTGATCTCTCTTCCTGACCAGGCCTCATCCTTGGCCAGCTGAGCTCAGCTTAGCAAGAATCTCCTCACTCTTGATATACAATCAAGCTCTTCTTGGTAACTGTCCATCCATTAACCCCCTCATTCTGTTCATTGACTACAAATCCCCAGCTGTCTTTGCTGTATTTGGAGTTGAGCTCAGTTCTATACTGAAATCTCTCTCCCTTATTTCAGTAGCTCATATGAAATCTATCTTGCCATTTTTAACCAATGGTGCAGTTTTTCTTTTACAACATTCATTGTTTAACATGTGATGACCCATATAATTGCTGTCATTGTCATGTATCTGCTGGTTTTCCTCATTAATGTGGGGTTGTGACTGAGCGTACAATTCTTCCACCTTCTGTGAGATCCTCCTTCAACTTTTACAGCTCCTGGGACAAGCATGTATATTTAGTTCCATGATAATGGACCTCAACTTCTGCAAGATACCACACCATTGAGGTCAGAGGTCATGAGAACTGGCACAGATTTCAATCCATCTTCCTGGTCTTCAACTCATGCCTGTGAGTTCCAATTTGTTTTTGCTCTCCCTCACTTTTACATATATTGTCCTTTCTGAATTACTTGTACTTCAAGTTCCCAGCATCAGACTTAAAGACAACAGCCTTGTAGAGACTGCCCAGCTACCTCCCATAGTTGCTTAAGGTCAAATCTCTGTAACAGAGTAAATCCTGTTAATTTTTATAAATACCTAAATAGGTAATAAAGATAGAGACAAGATTCAGATAAAGGTATAGGCATAGATATAGAAAGACATAGATATAGATTTAGAGGCTCTGCTTCTAAATCTTCTTGATTCCTAATATAAGGAGCAAAAGGCTATGATGTATTCTGCATTCCTGGTGCACTACCCTACTCAGGTAGGTCCATGACTCTGAAAATGTAGAATGTAAGATAAGAGATAGGCTGGGAAATCAATCCCCATTTCTGTTAACTTTCAAGAATATCGGAGATTCTCCAAACTCAGGAGATATATTCCTTGAAGCAGTGCCCTCTAGTCTAAGGAGGCTATTCTTGGACATTCTGTGTGGGCCTACTATTATACATCAAAGAGGAAGATGTGTAAGTTCTCCAATATTAGACTCAGCTGCACAGTTCCTTCAGTGCCCAGATGAATATCTTTCACACAGCATGTAGGTATGTTCAGCTTTTGGACAGGAACTTCAGAAAGCTAACTGAAAAATTGTCATGTTCATATCATCTTATAAATGACTTGTGGAAACAGGAGACTGAAAACAAAAGAGAGGAGACATATTGAATGGCATTAAGTGTTGCCACCTGAAGATTTACAATGATATTTCTTTTTATCTTTGTTTTTCTTTTTCTATAATTACACTACTAAGAGAAGAACTGTCATGATGATAGGACTGAAAGTGTCAATCTTAGAGAGTATATATTATTAACTCAATTGTACAGCGATGCAAAAAAAAATGTTTAAAGATTTTAGGGAACTTGTCCATTTCATCTCTCTTGGAAGTAGAAGAGCCAGGATTTACATCTCGTCCTGGGTTATCCAAAGCTCATGATCTTCATAGGTATACCTCAAAAATTTCGCAGGTTCAGCTCCAGACCACCACAACAAAGTTAATATTGTAATAAAACAAATCACATAAATATTTTGGTTTCCCAATGCATATATATATATGCATATATATATATGTTTATTCTATATTGTAGTCCTTTAAGTGTGTAATAGAATTATGTCCTTAAAAATATTTTTAAAATGCTTTATTACTAAAAAAAAAAAAAAAAAAAAAAAAAAAAACTGCTTATGATTATCTGAGGCTTCAACAAGTTGTAATGTTTCGCTGGTGGATGATCTTACCTCAATGTTGATGGCTGCTGACTGATCAGGGTGGTTGCCGAAGGCAGAGGTGGCTGTGACAATTTCTTTTTTGGGTTTTTGTGTGGTTTTATTGTCTGTTTGTTTTCAGGTTTTTTGTTGTTTTTTCTTTTTCTTTTTTTTTTTTTTTTTTTGAGACAGAATCTTGCTCTGTCACCCAGGCTGGAGTGCAGTGGTGTGATCTTGGC